AGTGTGTGTGTGTGTGTGTGTGTGTGCATATATATCTATATCTATATATATATATATATATAGATATAGATATAGATGTGTGCTTGTGTATGTTTATATGTGTAGAACACTGTTAACAAACAACTCTTGCACACAAAATGAATAATGCAGTGTTAGAAAACCTGGCAGAAGTGGTAAAAGTTGGCAGCAGCTGCACAATTAAACCGGAGGTTTCTCTTTATACCCACAGTTTTAAATTTACCATTCTCAAATTGTTAAAACACTGTTTGTCCACAACACAGAAAGCAACGGTGACGCAGCATAAAAGAAAGAAAGGAAAAAAAAAACAAGTCACTCTTTCTCTACACCATTCAACTGCAATTTCAGAAGCCACCACCAGGGGGAGACAAGGTGCCTTCACCTGGGAATTTTCTAACTGTGGTTGCAATTACACGCCTACACCACCAGATGGCGCCAAAGAGAGCACTGCACAATTTGGATCTCAAAACACTGGAACCAGCTGAGTAGTTGTAATTAAACAAGCTACCACTAGGGGGAGATGACAATCTCTGTCAATGTGGCCTACACTGGCCCAGTCGCTGTGACTTTAAGAACCTTTGTGCTGCACCAATCCACAATTTGATCTCAAAGGCTTCAGAATAGCAACAACCAACAGACAACGCAGCTGAAGTCCCAAATCACCAATTCTCTATTGGATTATAAGATTCAATTAACCGTCCGTTAAATCCACTCAAACCCGCTGGACTCAGAGCTGCAACACCACAAACACACCCGGTCTATTTTCAGCAGGTGTATCGTTTTTAGCTAATTTAACACTAAAAGCAGTCTGGATGATTTATCTGTTATTCATATAACGAACGTTTCAGTCTCAGGCCCACCCAGAGACAACACCAATATGTTGTGCAAAATAATATCCTGTAGATAATTAATAAATGATAGTTATAGTTAATTATTTAACCTATTCAAAATCGGAGTTGACTTAATCGTCCTTCAAACCTGGCCTTCAGATGACGCGTCCCAGGATTTCGAACAGAGCACATGTCAAGGCAGGAAGTGATCAGTCATTAATACAGGAAGTGATCAGACATCATATTAATACAGGAAGTGATCAGTCATTAATACAGGAAGTGATCAGACATCATATTAATACAGGAAGTGATCAGACATCATATCAATACAGCAATTGATCAGTCATTAATACAGGAAGTGATCAGACATCATATTAATACAGGAAGGGATCAGACATCATATCAATACAGCAATTGATCAGTCATTAATACAGGAAGTGATCAGACATCATATTAATACAGGAAGGGATCAGA